TCGGACATGTATACGTATCTGAAGACTGCGAGTTCGACCCTCGCTTGGGCTACTATTCAAGGAATGATGGTTGTTTCAAGGTTGCTTTTTTTCTTTACAGTGCTTGCAGTTTTTTTTGTGTTGCTGAAGCTCGAGTATCGGAATCAGAATGAATTAAAGTGGTACTTGAGTAAACCATGACAGCTGTTGTCTCTCAAGTGGAGTTGAAAGTAAGTACCTGAAATGGAAGAGATTGTGCACATAATCTGTCTATCCAATTGGACAGGTTTTGCATTCGTTGAGTTGCTACCTACTAGTACTTGGCTCATACCGTCCCATGTGTTTCTCTATGTGTAAAGGAGTTTAGGTGGGGCATGCGGAAAATGTTCACCTGCACCCCGGGAGGCTGGACGGCAGGTGGGTACTTTCGGCGGTTACTATGCTGTACCAAAATGCTTGACTTTGTGGATACAGTGTTCAATTTAAGTTTGCATTATACTATGATGCTTGTACCATTACTTATAAGTACCGTACCTGTATATACTGTTTCAACGACAAATTACATCTTCCATTCTTCGCCGTCAGACTCGGAGGATCCCGCAGGGGATGACTGGTAGATTAAGCAAAACCTTTCTCCTTGTTTTATGCCCATCTAGCTCAACTGGAAGTGTCGTACATATCTGAAGACTGCGAGTTCGACCCTCGCATGGGCCATAGATGTGGTGCGGTTTATCACAATGCACTTGTAATTTTTTTTTGCGTTTGCAAGGAGCTCTGAAGCTTGGATATCGGAATCTGAATGAATAAATGAGAGAGATTGCGGGCATAATTCTTTGACTAAGGGAGAGAGAAGTTGATTGGTAAAGTATGATCTCATCAAAAGAAGCGCCTCAAGATTTTGAGCTGGAACGATGTGAAGCTTTGGCGCATGCCGTCGGTGGGAAACTCTTGCTTTGGTTGGAACTTACGGCATGTCTCTTGGCATCGCGAGGCCGTAAGTCAATTCAGTCAAAATCGAAGCAAGGGGAAAAGCGATCATCATTTCATCAGATCGATGATACACGGAGATACACTGCCTGAAATGGACAAGTCGCTTTGACAGTAGTTTGTTCGGAACGACGTCATGGGCGATGACATCAGGACGACGTCACTGATTTGCTTTTGTCTCCATTGCCTCGGTATATAAAGAGGGCGGATCTGCGCCATCTGTATTTCTTGAAAGCCATGTCCGACATTGAAAGCGGAAAAATCTTCAACGTCGCTGAGCCTACTGGTGCCGAGTGAGTATTCATTTCTCCGTTGGGGTACTTTATCGCTCAAGTTGTTTGTCAGTGCTGCCCGAGCTCAGACGACTGCTGCACAAGCTCAGTCAGAAGCCCCGACGCACGCTGCTGCTCGTACCGTAGAATACAACAGCGAGCAGGTCCAGGGTGTCGCAGAGAGTGCTGCGTTAGCTGCAAAGGTGAGCATTGTCGTCTAAAGTTGAATACTATGCTAACTCTGTACAGTCTCTAGGCAGCGACTTTACTGGCGAACCATCTGCATCCGACGAGATGCGCCAGAAAACCGACATTGCCGCCGCACAAGGCAAAGCCGATATCGACATGGGCAAAGCTCAAGCCCAGAATTATCTCGACCAAGTCAAGAGTATGGCTGAGAGTGCTTTTGCCACCGCTCAGTCGTATCTTCCTTCTACCAGCTCTAATTCCAATTCCAACTCCAACTCCAACTCGACATCCACCTCACGTAACGCTAATGGAACATTAAACGACTCTGCCAACGACGCACTCGCACAAATCCACGCAGGAGCAACTACAGCGCTGCAAACTGGCAAAGAATACATCGCTTCTGCGCAGACTGCTGCTCAGCCGCACATCGACCGCGGGCTGTAGAAGCAGCTCAGCCACATCTGCACAAGGTGTCGCAGGCTGCGGACAGCTATATGGGTAACATCAGCGGTCAGACAGATCCAGAATCGATGGTGCCGAAGAAGATTCCTTCGACGAGTGCCCCGCTGGAGAGTGGACCACATACGGTTGGAACACCGTATCCGAGTACGACCACAAAGGTTGGCGAATAGATAACTTACCATTACCAGTGTACAGTAGCATAATCATTATAATGTCATCATCATCCCACGCTTGATTTCTTTCTCTTCAACCATGAAAGTCGCCATCGAAGGCTGCTGCCACGGCCAGCTCGACACCATATACACCTCCATCGCCGCCCTCGAATCCCAAAACTCGTACAAAGTAGACCTCCTCCTCATCTGCGGCGACTTCCAAGCCATCCGCAACGAACACGATTTACAATGCATGGCTGTCCCAGACAAATACAAAGCTCTCGGCGAATTCCATAAATATTACACAGGAGAAAGCATAGCGCCGATATTGACGATTGTAATTGGAGGAAATCACGAAGCGAGTAATTATTTTTGGGAGTTGTGAGTTTTCCAGTGAGTTTTTTTCTTTTGGTTTTGTTCTTACGCCGTTCTGAAAGGTTCCATGGTGGATGGATAGCTCCGAATATATACTTTCTGGGCCATGCTGGGTCGGTCCTTGTCAATGGAATTAGGATCGCTGGGCATCGGGCATATTCAAAGGGTATAATTTCAACAAAGGTGTGTACTGCTTCCCTTCTCGCTTGCCAACGTAGTTGACGCATTTGACACCTTGACGTTCCAGGCTACTACGAAACCCAACCCTACTCCAAAGACGACGTCCGCTCCATCTACCACATCCGCGAATCCAGCATCCGCCAACTCTCCCTCCTCCCAAAACCAACCATCTTCCTCTCTCACGACTGGCCCCTCAATATAACATCCTACGCCCCGCTGCAGACGTGAACAAGCTCTTACGCCAAAAACCGCATTTCAGAGCAGAGGTTAATGAAGGCAGGTTGGGCAGCCCGCCGCTGATGGGGTTGATGAAGGTGTTGAAGCCGCAGTGGTGGTTTAGCGCGCATTTGCATGTGGGGTTTCAGACGCGGGTTTGGTGGGAGGAGGGAATGGAGGGAGGGGAGGAAATGGAAGGAGTGGAGAGTGGGAGGATGAGGTGGGAAGGAGAGGAAGGAGATGGAGATGGAAAAGAATCCGGATGAGATTGTCATCGAGGATGATGAGTTTGAGACGGCGGCGGCGGCTCCAGTAGAATCCAGTTCAACTTCCGCTCTGCCTCCTCCTCCTCGGGCACCCGCAAACCCAGACGAAATCATGTTGGATGCCTTGGACGGCGATGAAGCATTCGACGTCGCCCCTCCTCCTCCACCAATACCTGCACCCATACCAGAACCGCCCATGTCAGAACGGGGAGGTAGTTTCACGCAGTTCGTAGCACTCGACAAGTGTTTACCTAGGCGAAAGTTTTTAGAGGTTCGTGTTCCGTCTCTCTCTTTAAGATACCGAGATACCAATGACGTTCTATACTAATGTCGTTCTAGGTCATAGACGTAGAAACACCCGTAACACCCTCAAAATCCTCTGAATCTTCCTCACGCTCCCCACCAATGCTAACCTACGACCCGCACTGGCTCGCCATAACCCGCGCCTTCCACTCCTACATATCCCTCGAACGCTTCCAGAAGCCCTTCCCAGACGAAGCGACTGCGAGGAGTATGATCGAGAATGAGGTTAGGTGGGTGAGGGAGAATGTGTTGGGCGGGAAAGACGGTGGGGAAGATGTATCTGGGGATGACAAGGGTGGGGACGGGGCAGGGGCAGGTAGGGTAAGTGGGGTAGGTGGGATAAAGATTGACGACGTGCAGGTCTTTGTGAGGACTGCTCCGGGGCCGGAGGGGAATGGAGGAGGGAAGGGGAAGGTTAGAGTTAAACAACGTGAGTATCTATCTACTCGTGTCTTTCTTTCTTCTTTCTTCTTCTTCGTCATTGTTCTGGTTTCTGGTTTCATCTCCCTCTATGCCCCCCGCTTCGGTTTTTGCTGACTGGTGGTTTTTTTGCTTAGCCCCGGTGTACTCGAACCCCCAGACGGAAGCGTTTTGCAGGATGCTGGCGATGAGTAATTTTGTTAATCCTGGGGCGGCGAGTTCGTAGTGGTTGTTGTTGTTGTTGTAAGTTGGGGCGACGACGACTACTTTGAGTCGGAAGGGTTGGGGATTGTTGAGGATATGATCTTAAGTACGATCATATGGTTGTATTTTTATTGTAGGTCGAAAGATAATTAGTGTGTTATGATAGATAGCATCGATGTACTTGTTATACATACACATCTACACAGCTACACATCGTACTTGAGCAGATGCGAATCGGAGCACGCAAAAAAAGATGAATATGAATACATAGATGTATTTTTCAGAGTAGAACTCTTACTCTACTCCCGAATCAAAACAAAAGATTGCACCTATCACCGTAATTGACATGTATAGCCCACCGCGAGGGTCGAACTCGCAGCCTTCAGATTCCGATGCCACTTGCTTATAAAAGTCTGACGCTTACTAGGGACTGTGTCGTCTGAAACCCCGATGCAGCTCCTCATTATGTCCCTAGCTCACCATCCTTTCGGGGAGTTACTGTCCAACTGCTTCATCGTGGACCCGTGGTTGTACGACTTGGTATAAGCCTTCAAGTGCTACTTGCTACCTACAATTATGAGTCAGGACTCGGAAGGAATGAGCTTAGGCTGGGCAATAATTACAATTTACTAGGGACTGTCTGAACATAAACAAATTCGCCCTCCGCTCCGCCTAGATGAAATCATGTTGGATGACTTGGGACGGCAATGAAACTGTAAACATTTGACGTCGCCCCTGCTCCTCCACCCGGCCCCCCCATTCCTCAGACCTCCAGAACCACCCTTGTCGACCCTTGTCAGAAACACGAGGTAATTTCACCCAATTTGAATTTTGTAGCACTCGACAAGTGTGTAACCCAGGAGAAAAGTCGTTGGAGGTTCGTTTTCGGTCTTTTCAAGATAACCGATGACGCTTTATGCAGGTTAGAGAGGGTTCTAAATGAAAAAAAAATTTCAGAGTAACAACCTCCTACACCAGGTGCACAATGTGTATATAGCCCACCGCGAGGGTCGAACTCGCAGCCTTCAGATTCCGACGTGTCACGTGCTTATAAAAGTCTGACGCTCTATCCGATTGAGCTAGGCGGGCCATAACTTTTATGGACTGTATCGTCTGAAATCCAGATACTACAGCTCAACAACGCTACTCATTATAGCACTGTTCCCTGTTCCTTAGCTGACCATACTTTCGGGGGGTTAGTGGCCAACTACTCCATCATGGACCCCCGCTGTACAACTTCGTATAACTTCAAGTGCTCCTGCTCCTACACTTGCGAGTCAGGACTCGGAAGGAAATATGTAGATGTGTATTTTTCAGAGTAGAACCTCTTCTTACTCCTCCCAAGTATGAAATCATATGAATCAAAAAATTTTAACAGCGACGCTAGTATACCACCCTTAAACCCACCCACGAGGGTTGAACTCGCAGCCTTCAGAATTTATAAGACTATGGGTAACGTTCATAAAAGTCTGACGCTCTGTCCGATTGAGCTAGGCGGGCAATAACTTCTAGGGAGTGTGTTGTCTGAAAGCAGACACAGCTCAACAATGCTACCGACGGCAACTCCAGCAGAAGCAAGTTCGCCCTCCACTCCTGAGTCCTCCTGCACTTGCGTACTTGGCAGATGAAATGATGTTGAATGACTTGGGGACGGCGATGAAGTATTTGACATTGTCCCTGCTCCTCCACCCAACCCCCCCTTCCTCAGACCTGTACCCATACCTTGTCAACCCTTGTCAGAAACACAAGGTAATTCCACGCCGTAGCACTCGACAAGTGTTTACCCAGGAGAAAGTTTTTGGAGGTTCGTTTCGGTCTTTTGAAGATACCGAGACGTTCTGAAAATTTTCACCAGTAGAATTCCTACCTTGAATCAAAACAAGGAATAGGGTCGGACCCAACATGTTTATAGCCCACCCCGAGGGTCGAACTCGCAGCCTTCAGATTTTACCTGTGTTGGCCGTTTATAAAAGTCTGACGTGTGTAGTTTGAAACCCAGATACAGCTCAACAACATCGTCAACTCACTGTTTTTCTCCGTTGATATACGACGGCTCCTTCGACCCCGCTGTAGAGCGGAGCCAAGTATACCCCATGTCAGGTATCGAGAGATATCGCCTGGCCGGTCCGATCGACTCTTGTGCGGAATAAGCGCCCGTTCTTTTCTTCGTTCTCAGTCCGAAACTCCGAGGAAAATGGTCTATTCCAAGAATTTGTGTCGCCTCTGCCACGAACAAGGCCGTTTTAGCCACATACCTACTTAGGCCAATTCGTGGTTTTCCGAGTCATTCGGTCCTCAAGTGTGCAAACTAACCATACAATCCTGCCGACAATGTACAGCTGCGCATGCCAATTTACTGGGATTCGGTTCCAGTACTCGGTACTTACTCTCCAAAGCTTGGGTCTTGTACGCTGTACAGCCCAAAGTCTATCCATTCATGGTTAAAGGTAGCCTTTCGGCTAATCGGAAAGGTCGAAATTTTGTGCCGGCGGAACGACGTGTCAGGGTGCGCAGCAGATGAAGCTTTAAAAAACTGGTATCTGTCAAGCTCTGCCAAGCTGGTTTCCGAAGGTGGTCTTGTTGTTCGAGAGTATCAGTACAAAGATGCCAAGCTTCGATAGCAGTCATAAGTCCTGGTGCTTGTAAACATCAGTGGCGCACTCTCTGACGTATTTACTCTCTGCAAGAGTCCAGAGCTTTCTTGCCGCATTCAACAACCAAGACTACCACGCAACACATGTTTTGCTTGTGGTCAGGCAGGTCCAAGACGCTTATGCACTCTGTATCAAGACAAGGTATGGGCTGGTATGGAGTACATTGTCTAAGACAACAACTTTGTTATTAGTAGTCATCTTTTTCTGTCAACGACTACTCCTGAAGCCGAAGGCGTACCTATTGCGAACGGAGACGCGGTCATAGTTTAGGAACAGATGGAATGTATGGAACCGGGTCGTAACCTGTCAACAAGAGTACAAGTGGAGAATCGGCCGAAATAACCGCTGTGAAGATTTGTCCAGTAGTGGGGAAGGTATGGGAGTGGGAATCGATTTGTTCCAGTTCCAAGTCTTTGATTATCCAGCACTTGGCGAAAATTCCTCCTTAGCTCAAGTATAGCCTCTAATTCAAGGTCGCTTGCCGAGGTTGAATCTGCCGTAGGTAGTGAAAACTATCACCGAGGTTGAAAGAATTCGGCCACAATAACCAGCTATACCCAGCAATATTAGCGCATACTTAGTTGCTCTGGTCAACGAATAAGCTGGTGTATACGGCTTGGTACCATGCCGCCAATGAGCTTGTATGACGAACAAAAGCTGTTATCTTGTGAGAAATACTTCAGGCCTTGCCGCTATAGGCGCTCATCTGCAAGTCCTAACTGATCAGCCAAGATACGCTGTTCAATTAGCGTATATCCCTCACACAAACACAAGTCAGTCCCATTTTCTTGATGCCGCGACCATTCTGTCTCAAGACATTTCTTCACTCATCGCGTATAAAAGCGGAGGAGGTCGTGTTGAGTCAAACCCCCTGTCAACATGTCTGACGAAATTTCCCTCCCGGAAACCGCAGCCCAACTCTCTGAACAAAGTCTTCAGCAGCCACTGTCTTGGAAGCCTTTGACATGGGTCTTCGTGGGTGCTCTGGTCGTTACCTTTTGCTTGCGTCGTGGGTACAAGGTATATTCGACCTGTTTTGCGACGAAGAGTTTGCAGAAAACCGCCGACGAGATCGAGGATACTTTGAGGAGGTTCAGGACTAATTCACTGTTGGGTCCTGATACCGGTTGTAACACCGGTTCATCTCCAATTCCCCGCATATGCGGCGAACTCACATCCCAACGATGGATGTTAGCCCTGGAACTTGAAGAACGAGTAATGAGGTACATAAGCATCCCATTGTCTCTAGAATTCACTGAAGGCTAAATTACTGGTAGCATTCAAGAAACGATCCTGGATATTTCTCTTAGACTACACTATACACAGAGTATACCAGGGAAGGCGACTTACAAAGGAAAAGAGTCGTTCATACGGAACATTATCACCGATTGCCTCCAAGGGCGAATACAAGCGATTAGAAAAACTATAGGATGCCGTCGTGAGTTGAACACCTTGAAGAAGGAGATTGAGGTATGTCGCAGCATGCTGCTTGGAAGTTTTACGATTAGTTGATTATCTCTTGGTCATGGCAGATTCTTGAGCAAACGACACGTCTAGAACAGCTTCGTTGGAACTTGCAGCTCCTGCAGTTGCGACGGAGTAATAGTACCAGTAGCAAGACAAGTAACAGCTGTATTAGTATTCCTTTGCCTTGAAAACGATAACATTAAACATTTCCAGCATGATTGATTACAAAAATTTAGATGCCTAGGGAGTATAATGAGCGCAGAGTAATCGAAACAAAGATAATGAACTTACCAAAGACATTAAATCGCCCATCCCACCATGCTGACTCGAGCCTCCTGAACCCCCTCCTCCTCCTCCGCTCATCTTACTCTGTACAAGCATCTTCATCACCATCATCCCAGCACCATTGATGGCATCCTGTTTAGATCCAGAAGCAGCACCGCCGGACTTGTCGAATAACTTGGACGCCTCCGCCATAGCCATCGATATTAATTGACTCTTGGAACCTCCCCCACTCGCTCCGCCTCCGGCGAACTTTTGAAATGTCTAGTTTCGAAAACGTAAGTTGTCACAGAATATTGTTGAGGAGACTTTTAGCGCACCTCAAGGGCAGCGGCACTTCCCATCGACCCAGCACTCAAGGAACTGGCATTGCCATTCTGGTACACTTCTTGATGGGAGGCGACGACATGCGCTTGATCAATCGGTTCTTCGTGAGCGTGCTAAGAGGAGGGTCCAGTGAGTACACTGTTCACGACTCGGGTGCAGCGATAAAACAATTCACCGTATTATTGTTTACATGTTGCATGGCTTGAGAAAACATGTCCGAGTAACCAGAGCCGTGTTGAGTAGCAGTTTGTACAACTTCATCATGATTGACTAGACAAGAGTAGAAAGAGTGAGTTTCAGTTACACTCAACGCAACTTGAATCTCACAGTTAGGGCGGCTTGCGTGAGCTTGAGAATGGGCGCTGGAACCATTATTGTTGGCTAACGGAACATTGTAAATTCGTTATGACTGATGCACAAGATAAGTACGTACAATGAGATGCTTCATAGGCTTGAAGACCTTGCTTGGCAAGGTTCATGAATGAGTCCTAATAAGCGTGAGTTTGCAGTTCTACATGTCTATGGAATGGCATACACACCATGGTTAGAAGATTCGACAGGTCACAGCGGAAAGTGGAAAGGGAAGATGGTGGTGTAAAGCCAAGTTATCTACGCATAGCTTTATTTGAATCGCCATCGATCTTACTTTTTCGGTTAGTCGGTTATCACTAATAGGCGCCTAATAAAATCTCACGGTCATCAACAACGTACTGCGTCGCGCACTTCTCTGCACTTCTTTCCAATCAGGTCCTGGATTGCCATTTCTGAGAAGACAAGTTCAACTCAAATTTCCTCCGAACCTGTGAGACTCAAATAACCTCACTGAGGATCGATGAAAAACCGGGCAAGAGTTGATTGGAACAGAACGCCGTAAGTATTACTACAATGCTTCTTTGATTTTAGCCTTCTTATGTAGCTGCCTGGCAGTTTTGAATCACAAGACTTGCAGATCCACTGCGCATAGAGCAAATAGTTGAGTTTATGCAATCACCCGTGCAAGGTAAAGTCTTGATTGAGTTTTTGAATTGAAAATTGTTGAAAATCTATGCGATATGCCAACGTCAGTTGTATGCAGAGCCATGTTGGCTAAAAGTGCCTACTGTGACCAACGAGTTGTTCGCTTCCATGGCTGAAAGAAAAGTCAAAAAACTGCTGATATATTTTTATTCCAATTTAGCGTTACCTTCAGTCACCAAGTGCCACCAAGTAGCATTCAGTGGGTCAGAGTCTGTCCATCCAGGGATATTTTGGCCATAAGTTTCACGAGTGCTATACTCAAGCTTGTAGGTGGGTCCAAACCGAGTCTGGGAGTCAAGCTCTGGATAGGAGTTTACATCACTGAACCACCTAGAGAGAACA